AGCCATCATTTGGATAGAATCACACTATTAAATTATTTGTGTAGCAATTAGCAGTTGTTTAGCATTATTCCGAGATTTCTTGCTTTTTTTTTAAACCTAATTAAAGTAACCTTACTATTGCTACTGTCTAAAATAGTTGCTGTATTAGTCTTACATCAAACGGGAGGAAGGTTAAATCTATAAAACGTTGAATCTCTTAAACCTGGCCAAGGATGGAATATATCCTGTTAATTTGTCAAACTTCCAGAGGAACGCCTACGTGAGACAGTAAGGATTAATCAAGCCCTGGTAAGAGGGAATTTGAAAAATACCGTTTTCTAATTATACGATCTCTTCTCAGTGGTCCAAGGTTAATGTGGTTCTGAATTCTGACAGTTAGTAATAGAAAAGGAAAAAAAAAAAAAAGACCAAAGCATATGAAGTATCTCATAATTACCTGAAACAGAAGTTCTCCTTGGAGCAATTAAGAACTTTATAAGCATTAATCTGATATTTTCAGCCTTTGATTCTTTTCCTCTTAAATGATATGGAGAATCATTGAAGGGTTTTGTGTCATTCTTTGTGCTTAACAAATATAGATGTAGTGTTTGGAGATTTCTTTTGCTTATTACTCAGCCATAGATGAGTAATTCTGGGTGAATGGAGAATCCATCGTGTGTGTGTGTGTGTTTGTGACAGTTTAGCTGTCTTCTGACTACTTTTAGACGCTGTGTATCCTTGGAATACTTGGTCCTCATTCAAGCTACAAATATAAAAACTATGGTCAATTCGAGATCACTAGCAGAACCATCTCGTTGGTTTTTGCTTCCAGGCCTATTTGTAGCTCTTGCTGCAACTGTTCCTAAGCCACACCATGAAAACGCCAGCACTGGGAAAAGATACATGTGTTCTTTAATTTACTGCCATCAAATATCTGTGGAGTGTTTATCATAGTGAGAGCAGTTACAGAGAAGACTCAGACCACCCCAAGAAGAGGCCTGAGGAGAAGATGGGAAATTGGGGTTAACAATGGGGATTTCAGGGTTTTACAAGTAGATCTGCTCTCTGAGAGTCTGTAGATGGAGGCAGCGAGAAGCCAGCATTATGGGTGACGGCTGAGTGATGCAGGGCTGAGAGCCGGGCCTTGCTGCTGGCACGGGAGAGGAGACCTGCGTTTTGTAGTGAGAGCCTGTCTTGGAGCAGATCAGCTATTCTAGAGGATGGAGGAGGGAAACTGGACATATTAGGAAAAAGCTAAAAATCAGATGACCTTGGGATTTTAAAAACTGCTTTTATTTACTTAGTTGGAAATGCACTTTTTCATTTATTCCGACAAACCGCAGGAGCACATACTGGGTCTTGAACCCCAGAGCTGGCTCTTGTGGCAAAGCTCTGGTTTCTACAGACTTGCCGGAGAGGGATTTGAATACAAGGGGAAGTGCATGGCCTTGTGGTCAGGCTGGCCGGGGCCCCAGAGCAAGGCTGTCCTGGGCCAGGGCACTCAGGTACCTGTCACGTGATCAGGGGAGATGCCAGGCTGGGTAAATGAGTCCCCAGACCCCACTCTGATTGACCTGCGTTACACAAGTTGAAGGGACAGTCGTCAAGTACATCTACCCTGTTTCACTTCGAGGACAGCCTGGGGCGTGAGGCCTGACTGCGCGGTACCTCCGGGGTGGGTCAGCCCTGAGGAGAGACGCAGGATGGTTTGGGAGGGGAAGCCAGGGTCACAGCCGCAGAGATGGGAGTTGTGGAGCTGAGAGGTCACCAGGCCAGCAATGGGAAGCCTTTCAGACCTCAGCATCCGGACAGACAGCACAGGCGGTCACGACGTGGGAGGGGCCGGGCTGGGTGTCGCGGGCTTCCCGGGCCTGAGGTTTCTCCCCGCAACCCTCAGGTGCAGGCCCGGGAGCAGGTGTTAGTTGACAGGGTCCCGTGTCGGGGGTGGGGATTTTTGGAGTCTGAAGTTGGAGGGGTGCCGGGGTGAGCCGGAGCAGTCAAGTGTGGATGGGACGCTTGCGTTTTGTCTCTGTCATTGGCTTTGAGTGTGTGGGACTGTGGATTGTCACCGTTCCTTTTCCGGAGCCTCACGTGTGCCTCACACTCTTAATGCCCAGCAGTCCTCTTGTTTGTCTCACAAGAAGCTTTATATTTTCCATCTTGTGATTTGGTAATTAAGAGAAAGAAAGTCTGTTCATAGTCCTGTGTATTATTTCTATAAACCGCCCTTCATACAGGATGCTCAAGGGAATCTGTTTCATATGATAATTCTCATTAATGAATCCAGACACACAGTGTTAAGTTTTGCCCCAAACTGCCCGGGATGAATTAGATAGTTGCAGCCAATGTGACACTTTTTAGAGATTCAAAAGAAAACAATATCATTGTGTTTCCTAATAGATTCAGAAACCGTAGGCCTGAATATTAATACCAGGACCATCAAAATGTAGCTATTAGATGGGAAAGCATAGTTCTGATATTTGAATTTAAGAGGACTTTTCTGTATTTCCCAATGTCACCATCAATAATTGGAATCTGCATTTCCTCCTTTATTCATTCAATAAATATTTAACACCCATTATGTTTGTGGCAGAGTGTTCAGCTCCTGGGGAGTTACAAAGAACCTAGAAGACTGGGCTCTGCCCTCAAGGGGGAAATAGCAGGAACAATTACATCTAATTGTTTTCAACACCAAGCAGTGTTAATCGCAGTTTGGGAACATCTCGGTCTCCAGGAAGGAGACGGGGCTGAGGGGCTCCTCCGAGGCCAGCGCCCTGACAGCCCATGAGCGTCCAGTCCTTCTCCTCCTCCCCCCAACCCCTCAGGGTTTATAGGACAGAGGCTCGGGGGGCCAGGCTCAGGTCCCTCTGCAGTCAGCGGGGATTATATTCTCGGACAGGCTGTGATCTGATTCAGCCAGCTTCTTTTTTTTCCTTTCGATTTTGTTAACAATGCCAGAGACTGTTCATTTCTACACACGACTGAGTCGTGGTATTCGTAGACTCAAAGGGGCGCTCCCCAACATCTCCTGAGAGGCCCCAGGTCAGCTCTGCCTGCAGCACCACAGAGCTGCCGTGTGACTCACAGAGACAGTTGTGATGCCCCCCCACCCCGATAACGGGAGGCCTGGGGAGGCTGGTACACCAGGGTCTGTATCCTGTCTGAGCCAGAGCAGGCCCTCGTAAAGAAAGGTTCACTGAGCAACTGAGTGAGTACATCCTGGCTGAAATGTATGAGAGCCATGAGTTTAGGACACGCTTCTTCCAAGGCCTTGTTGACAGAAAGAAAAACGCAGAACATAAGAGCTGTGAGTTGACTTATTCAGGGTCTTACTGAGAACTATAGCCCGGGAGACAGCCTCTCAGACAGCTCTGAGGCAACTGCTCTGAAGAGGTGGGGAGAGGCTGGTATATAAATGATTTGGCCTAAGGAGTTTGTGCAGTCACCGTACATCTCAGTTACTGCCAGTCACAAGGAACAGATCTCAGTTAATGAATTTAGTGCTTTTCTAAGTACGGGAAAATGCAAGAATCTGGGTTCATAAGATTTTTTTTCCTTGAAATTTGTGTCTAATTTTTCATGAAATCTCTCTCTCTCTCTCTCTATGACCTGTTTTGCCTGTTTTCCCAAAGCACAGAGCACCTCTTCCTGTTCTTTGCCCTAAATTCCTTTCAAGGTGAATTGTAGGTCAGCGCCTGCCGTGGCTAATGGCTTGCTCCTTGTAGAACTGGATGGTGGGCAAGATTCTTTGTTTTACAGCCTCAGCACTCCTGGAAAAAGGTGTTACGGGTAGAAGGTTGATGAGTTGGAGAGAGAAGGGGACACCTTGGAAGGCCCCGATATTTGTAATTAGGAGTTTAGTATGGTTTGGACCAAGGCCAGGTGGTAATTTCAACCAACACTTATCTAGCACTTGTGTGCATAGCGTGTGTGAAGTCCCCTAGCAGATACAAGAGGGTTCCGTAAGGCAGTGCTTCCTAAACGTGTCTGCAGGTTGGAATCACGTGGGAGAACCTCTTAAAAATTCCAGAGCCCAGGCCACACCCCAGATCATCACATCTCCAGGGGTGGGACACAGATACGGAAGCTCCTTGGCGGGTTCCAGCAGGCAGACGGGCTTGCGAATCACCGCCCCAGGGAGAACAGATTTAGGTAACACACCCAGAAACTTTAAATAATGATATTAGAAAGCAAGACAGCCACTCAGCAAAGCAGGTGGGGGATTCCAAAGTAGACCGGAGCAGGGAGTTCCACTCGCTCCCTCAGGAGGAGCGCCCGCTGGGTTAGGTGGTGGGAATACTCTCCAAACGGCCTGGCAAGGTGGTGGGCTTTGCCGGGTGTGGGAGAGGAGAGGAGAGGAGGGTGCCTCATTCACCTTGAATTCAGATAAGTCTGGAGATGACCTTGGATCACCATTTGGGGATCCTTAGTGGAACGAGCCAGTATAGTAAGTACTTGACTTTTCATTGCCCTTAAGTGGATGGATGCTTTTCTTACAAAGGACAAACTACTGGTCATCCACTGGTGTTCTTCTTGGGTGTCCGTGGGCCGAGAACCACGAGGCGCAGCAAGTCCCTCGGGATAGAAACGTGTAGCTTCACTCCTTGATGCTCCTGCTCTTCAAATTGCTCTTTGCCCTCTTGACGGCCACAGCGAAGATCTCTGCGTGTGCACCTCAACACACAGATGAGCCATTTTATGCTGGCCATTCCCGGCCCCAGGCTCTTGTGGAGCAGTGAGCTGCTGCTCTGCTTAGGGTGGGCGAAGACACTAGACCTCAGCCCCTCCCGGCGCTGACAGACCCGGCGGTGCTGCCGGGAACTGTCCTGCTGCTGATTGCCAACCTGTCAGACCACGTGGACCTCATTTCTCAGTACTTCCCTTTTCTAATCAATTTTTTAAAAATTGAGTCTATTATCTGTGTTATTTCAGAGGGGCAAATGGAATGCCTCGGTACTATTAGCAAATTCTTCATGAGCTGCAATCAAAGATTTTTCTCTCTTTCTCCTTCAAACCCGCAGTGTGCCACGCCGAGCTGAATGCCATTATGAACAAAAACTCGGCGGACGTGAAAGGCTGCTCCATGTATGTCGCCTTATTCCCGTGTAATGAATGTGCTAAGCTCATCATCCAGGCAGGTAGGACCCAGGCCGTTCCACTTGTCACATTTGCATTGCTGCCTGCTCGTTGCAGACGTGTTTGATCTGAAATTGCTCTTGTTTAGGTCTAAATTAATTGCACTATCAACTTTGCAAGGTATTTCCCGTGTTTTGTTTTTGAACGGTGCCAGGTATTCTAAGACTAATTGCATCCTCTGTGATTCTTAGCGTGTTTTTAATTTAGTTTGCAACTTAAACTGCAAGCTGCCAAAAAACAACACAGGCATTGCATATCATTACTGCCAATTTACTGTTCTCCGACATATTGTGCATAGATTAGGGGGGGAGTGAGAGGAATGAACCTCTGTCAGAAACAAGGTCAGCCGGGAGTCCCTATATGAAATTTTAATTTGTGTCTAATATATGGTAGAGATTTGAGGACCTAAACATCTCTTTGCATATATGTGTCATAAGACTCAAATGGTACTCCTTCAAGTTTTTCTTACCTTATGGTTACCATAAATCTTCACCACTGTATTCTGAATATTTCACCTTTTTCAAACTGTCACATCTAAGATTCAGCTACACTTTATCTCTAGAAGGCTCAGCTTGAGATTTAAAGACTTACTATGTTAGCCAGATGTGTGGTTTAACGGGGCTGTTTATCACAAGCCCGCAGATCCCTGAGCAGAAGAGGTCAGCTGGGATCAGAATCAGGGGCCTCCGTTAAGGGATGTCGTGGGCTTCCTCGCCGGTGGGGCACGATCCTGCCGGAGCTTCCCTCGCCATCCTTCAGCACAGGGACGGCAGCAGGCGCCCGGGGAGAGCAGCTTCCTGTGGTCCCTTCCGAGGCTGAGGCTGCGAGGCGAGCAGGGGGCGTGCGGAGTACCCTCCAGGTTCTTGGCCCTCCTGTTAGCACTGCCTGGTGAGACGGGAGAGAAGACAGACCTGCCCTCCGTCAGGCCGGCTTGAGTTGGCCTCCCGAGCTGCTCTTGGAAGCACAGTGGTACTTACCTCTGGTTTTGCCAGCATTCTTCACTACCCCTCGTAGCCTCCTGAGTTAGGAGTCCCTGCCTTATGAATAAAGAATATCTGATTGCCTGCAGTATAGAAAATTTGTTAATCGGATCAAAGCTTGACTATTTGACATGTTTTCACTTTGCATTTATTTTTTTAAAAAAACCATAAAGACTGGAGGGCAGATTAAATATAATCTGTCCTCTGCTGTGTTTGAAAGCAGCAGACACCTATTTCAGTAAGTGGACGGTGTCTGCCTGCACACTCAGAGAAAGGTGATGGATCAGACACTACCCGGGCTTCCGCCCGCATGTCTGTTGCGGCGTCTGTACGTGCATATAATGAGGTGTCTTCCATGGTTGCCTTTTAAGGTATAAAAGAAGTTATTTTCATGTCTGATAAATATCACAACAGCACTGAGACGACGGCGGCCAGGCTCCTGTTTGAGATGGCTGGGGTTTCCTTCAGGTAAGTGGAAAGCACCTGGGGAAAAAGGTTGCCTGAAAGCCTGATGATGACACACGCTGACCTTGCCTGGTGTTTAATTTCTTCCTGTGATGCCTGACTTCCACGCTTGGAAGTGCCTTTTTAAATGTGGGGGGTTAAGGATCTAAAGATTATTCTAAGGATAGATTTTCACGAGCAGCCGCAGAAGTCTCTGAAGACAGTTGGTGTAATGGCTACACTTTCCTGTTAGTAACTTTCCAGGGCTCGGACTGATTATTCTTGTAGTGAGAAACTTTTAAATTCGCAAGTTTCATCACATTAACATTAAGCCTTTGTAAACTTTGCAGATGTAATGACTCTGGCATAAATAATTGAGGGCGAAAGTAACCTGCCAGATGGAAACACCAGGGCTTCCTTTTACAACAGGAGTTTAAACTGAGATTTGAAAAAGTCATTGAGATTTTCATGCTTATCTTTGCTAGGTAAAGATTGGGCGGGATGTGTTACTTGCAAGTAAGTTCAACCACCTTTGGTTCCCAGTGGAAACTTCTTTTGAGACTGAAAGCTTTCTGGAGAAGTTCTCTTATAGTATTTGTGGTCAGCGTTTGGGGTCCTTATCATCGGTGACACACCTGGCCCCTTGGATGCTTCATTAGGGATATGGGTTATATGTAATGAATCTCTTAAACGGTTGTGCCTTAAGACACAAATTATTTACACAGTACTAATTAGATATTTACTGTTTACTGATTTTTTTTTTTAGAAGAGTATGTTTAGTCCCAAGTGTTCTTTTTAACTGAGAAGTTACATCAATGAGAGAAGAAATATCATGGGTTTATTTTACTTCTGCATTTTTAGAACATGGATTTTACGGATGACTCCTCTCTAGAGCTGGTTGGTTTTCACTGTGTACGAGAGCAAAAAAACAAAAAAATGTACTCTTCTTTCTCTTTGGAGTGATTCCAAGTTGGCTGTGGAACTTTCCTGGACAATAAGATAAATCTGGTGGGAAAACGAGTCATCGAATATCGTGTTGTGCAGCTAACTTGTTAGAAATCCTCCGACTCCCCGGTAATTCATGCGCTCAGCTAGCTGAAGAACACACGAGCCAAGCCACCCCCTGCGCCTTTTTTTGGTCTCAGTCTTTGCTGGTCCGTGGTCCTCTCGGTGTGGTGCACTCTAATTGGCTCCTACAGAGACAAAATATCAAGCGAATCCTGGAAAGTTTTTTCCTCCCCATGGAAAATGTAGGTTAAGCCAAAGTAAACAAATTGCTTTAAGTACTCACTGGATAAAACCTTTATTATGTTTTGTTTCTTTACGCTTAGGAAATTCACACCAAAGTGCAGCCAGATTGTCATCGACTTTGATTCAATTAACAGCAGACCGACTCAGAAGCTTCCGTGAGTTTCATCTCATTAAATCTCCAGAAGATGGGGTTATCCTCTACCAAGAAGCTGCTAATACCTTTCATCTTGAAGTTACACGTAACTTTTTAATAGCCAGGACAGCACAAGTAGACATCTGAAGAATATAAAACCTCAAATCTTCCTGTCTCCTCTGTCACATGGGATCAGCATCTATTTAAACTATTGATTTAAGGTTTAAAATAAAGGCGCCGTAGGTGGCCTGTCGCACGGGGCTGGAACTGGGCGCCCCCCCCTTGCCTCCTAGTTTTCAGGGCGCTGGTGACTCTGCAGGAGGGCGTGTCGTCCACTGCGCCTCACAGCCTCTCTTCAACGCTACGTGGGCTGGAAGGACACATGAATAATTGCTCTCTTCCACTGGGATGAGCAGACACCCTGAGCGGAACATCTGGCCCAAATGAAGCATAACGCGTCATGCCCTTGGGAAGAAAAAGCTCCCATGTGATGGTAGCATTTGAGTATTTGCTTTAGAGAATTGAGGGAACCCCACCCACCCACCCAAAGGTCCTAGACAGGGAGCACGTCTGTCCTGACAGCCGATGAGTGTAACTGAGCTCGGGAGCCTTTCTCTGCTTCTGCTGTCCTGCCACCCATAGGGTAGTGGCACCGTGTCTCTCAGGAGGGCAGGGACCCCTGTTGTTTTTGCTTCTTACCTTTGGTTTGTGGGTGACACAGCTCTCACGGTAGTTTATCCAAATAATGAGCTGCTCCCGGAGGAGGCAGCCAGCCTCCCCGTGTCTCCCAAACCCACACCCTGCTGTGGGGCGGGCTGTGTGGATGAGGGACGGTGGGCCTGCACCTGCTTCTCCCACCTGGGGCCATGTTGCTGCTGCTCCTCGTGCCAGCCTCGTGCCATTTCCAAGGCTGCGCTGCACCCGGAGAGTCATTAGTTCCCATCCTGTACGTGAACCGGGAGGAAGTTCAGCTGGCCTGCAGGTGTTTCTTCCACATCTGTTGGTGATGGGAGATCACCTGTGCCTTTCTGGACACAAACCTCACCTTCCTAATCACTGTGCTTTGGGGAATGCATGGCAGTGCACCTTGCCTTTAATCTCATTTAATTCTTACTAAACTCATTCAGTACCTTTGTGGAGAAAATGGTTCCTTTATCCTAAAGATTATGACCGTTTCAAAGTGTTCTTATATTTTTATGAGTTTTTATTTTGTCTCTGAGGTTTTGTATAACATGTTCTGGGGCATCTGTAATTTGGCTCCTTACCAATGTTATTAAAATTTTATTAAAATCTGCCACACCGAAGTATGTTCATTTTTATATTATAATTATGTGTTCGACTCTCTGCTTCCATCATTTCTGTATTGTATGTGAACACAGTGCATATGTTTTAATGCTCAGAGAACAGTTTGAGTGTTTCTGTGTGCCTCCCTCAGGGTTGCTGGGCGATGCGTCTTTATGGGCCAGATTGAAGATGGGCAGGAGGGCTCTCTTCCCCGTCTCTCTCCTGCGTGCCCTGCTCCGGTCTCCGGTGTGGCCATCTCGTGGGTCATTAGCCATCTGATGGGTCCCAGGCCTCCTCTCTCCTGTAATTCTGTCTCCAGTTCTGGCTTCTGCTGCCCTTCTACTGTTTCTCTAAATCCCCTTTTCTCTCCTCATTTTTTTTTCCTTTATCTCCTCCAAACCCCCTGCTCCAAAGTACATAAAACAAAAGGTAAGTAGAAGAAAGGAATCAGTAAAGATACTTAAAGAGAAACTATGTTAGATTTTTATGTTGCTGTCGGTGAGTTGTGGGCCCTTTTAGAGGACAGCGTCATTTTTATGTCACATTTGTCACTAAGTCTAGGAGCTAGTAACCCGTACAGTCAGCCCTCTGTGTTCGCGGATTCCACATCTGTGGATTCAACCAACCTTGGATCAAAAATATTCAGGAAAAAAAAAATTCTAGGAAGTTCCAAAAAGCAAAACTTGAATTTGCCACATGCATTTTTTAGGCATTTACAGGCAGACCTCTTTATTGTGCTCCGTGGACGCTGACTTCAGTTTTTACAAATTTAAGGTTTGTGGCAACTCTTCTCTGAGCAAGTTTATAAGCACCATTTTCCCAACCATATTTGCTTATTTCACATCTCTGTGTCACATTTTGATAATTCTCACAGGATTTCAAACTTTCTCATTATTAATGTTTATGATGATGATCAGTGATCTTTAGTGTTACCACTGCAGGGTGATTATGACTTGCTGAAGGTTCAGATGATGGTTAGCATTTCTTAGCAATAAAGTATTTTTTGACTAAGGTATGTGCATTGTTTTTTTAGACATAATGCCGTTGCACACTTAATAGACCACAGTATAGTGTAAATGTAACTTTAATATGCACCCGGAAACAAAAAAATGCATGTAACTTGATTTATTGTGATACTTGCTTTATTATGGTGGCCTGGAACTGAACCCACAGTCTCTCCAAGGTCTGCCTATACATAGCATTTATACTGTATTTACAACTATTTACATGGCATTTATATTGTACTGGGTATCGTAAGGGATCTGGAGATGATTTCAGATATTCAGGAGGCTATTCATAGGTTATATGCAAATACTACATCATATTCTATTTAAGGGACTTGAGCATCTGCAGATTTGTGTATCTGTAGGGGTTGCAACCAATCCCCCAGGATCCCAAGGGATGACTATAGTGCATCTAATTGATTTAATTTTGATTTTGATACTATCTTATATTTTGTCTCATTTTGTTATGTTCAGTTGTAGTGAAAAAAAATTTTTTTCTTTTCCGTTTGGGAGGAGGTTAACAGGGAGGATCCTCGCTGAGAAAGAAGCATGTCTTTGACAGTCTGTGGGTGGGTGGTTGGTCACGTGGCGGTGTTGCCCCCGGTGTGTGTATTTACACCCTCCACGTGTAGACCGTGTTGCTGAACGTGACTTTCCGGTGACTGGAGTGTAAGTAATTTTGTCTTAGTTTTCGGTATCACTCCAGGAATAGTACAATCTTCCGTCCGGAGAACTCTGTAGATATCAGTGTTCCACTTAATAGAGGTTTGCTCTGAACTGCTGCCTTTGGGAAAAGCATTCCAGAAGCAAGGCGTTTTGAGCCCCTTTTGCCTTGCAGGCTCCGCTGGATAACTGTGACAGGGGACTGTATCTGAGGCAGTGTCGCTGCCTGTCACGGGTAATACATGACAATAAGGAAGCTGTCTCTCACGGAACTGTTGGTGGGAGAACTCCATTTAAAAGGCAAAATTTCTGAGTGAAATGATAAGAACTCCATTTCCCTGACACATTTTCTGCTTTTCTTCTTTTTCAAAGAGTCTGTCCTTAAAAGACTTCTGAAGTGTAAGTGATCTAAGATATTAGCCATTTCCTCCTAAATTAAAAATGAAGCAAAATAAGGGAACAGCATTAAAAAAAAAAGAAAAAGAAAAATTGAGAAGAGCTTGAATAAAAATTCCAGCCTGTACGACCAGGGATCAAGCTTCCTGTATGCCAGGTGTTTAATTTATCCATATTGTAGCACGTGTCAGAATTCCTTTCCTTTTGAAAGCTGAATTGTGGTCCACTGTACATCACATTTCCTTTATCCATGCATCTCTGATGGACTCTTGGCTGCCATTTTCTTTGGAAGGTCTCATGTTCCTCTACAACCCGGCATCATCTCCGTGGGCCCCTGACTGCCTCCCTGCCTACACCTGTCACCCAGACATCCTGGACAGTCCTTACTTTTTTTTTTTTAAATCAGCCTTTCTAAGAGGCTCTTAATGTGCTTCCTTTGCCCACTAACAGGTTTCTATGTATCTTTCAAGACTGAGCTGGGATCTTGCCTTCTCTGAAAAGTCTCCCCAGGCTGTCCTCAGCTGGAAGTGATCTATTTCTTCCCCGAAATCCTACAACAGTTATTGTCGGCAACAATCTTGTCGGCAATGAATCGTGCACTGTTTTATGACATCTCTGCTACTGTCTGGGACTGTTACTGAGACATTTCATTTAACTTTTCACAATGATCTCTTCCTGCTCTAACTAGATGATTAACTCCACAAAGAGCACGTGTGTCCTGTGAATCTTTGTACCCACTGCCTCCCGTCCCACCCACATCTTTGCATAATAACTCACACAGATGTATTTAATACACGTTTAACATTCCCATTTAAAAGCGATGAACCTGATTGTGCTTTAATTCAGTGAAGTGGCTGGTCAGAAGCCAACTTCCTAAATCATTTTCATGCTGATTTCCTCGTGAACGGCTTCAAAAAATATGGTCAAACAAAATGCAAGAGACAGAAATCTTTCTGTTAGCATCCAGTGTTAATGGGCACATTTATCTTTGAGAGAGAAGGGAGATTACTATTAAATGTCTTATTTTTAACGTCTGTGTTTCAGTTAAAGCATTCTTCTACATGGTCTTGGATTAGGAAGTTGACAATGGTATACGCTCTTGGCAGGACCCCAGAGATGATGTTTCTATTTAAACCCATCTGATTAGAGGATGTCTTGACCTTTTTAGGTCTGAAATCACTGTACAATGCTTACTGTCACAGGGATTCTTTAAGTTAATGGAAATTGTTACGTCTCTGGTGTTGTTCAGAATGCCACGGGTTCCAGGTTTTAGATGGGCATTTTGTTACTGAATTGCTTGTTCTGCACAGTGATGCATTTTGTATTTATTCTCATGCCTCCTCCCCATTTTTCCTGAATAAGCAAGCATCAGTAATACATGCAGCTATATGTAACAGACACCTGACTCTCAGTGACCTAAACCAACAATATGTTTTTCTCACATCATAAATACAGAGGCAAGCATTTGTTGGGGTTATTTCAGCTGCTCAATGATGTCAGCAAAGATCTAGGCTTTTTAAATTTTTTTTTATTTTTTTACTTGACTATCTTTTGCATTGTGTCTTCAAGTTTGTTTTGTCGAGCTCCAAGCATCCCCATTAAGTTCAAGAAGAAGGAGGTGGGAGGTGGGGTGAGCAAGAGACTTCTCTTCTGTCTGTCCCTATTTTTGTTGTCATTAGTGGAGGTACTGGGGATTGAACCCAGGACCTGTCCCTGCTAAGCATGCCCTCTGCCACTGAGCTGTACCCCAACCCTTGCCTGTCCTTTTTTATCAAGAAAGCAGAAACTTTCCCCAAAGCTCCCAGCAAATTTTCCCTTATGTCTCATTGGCCACAAGTGGGTCATATGGCCCCCTTAGCTGCAAGGGAGGCTGTCAGGGTACTTGCATTTCAAGATCAGTAGCAGAGGCCACCAAGGGGAAGGAGGTTAGTGACGCTGTTGCTAATGATATGGGCCACAAAATATGGGTGACATTGCCTGAGAGAAAAACGAACAAACAAAAATTGTTTAAGAGTTGGTCCTCCCCTCCTCACCTGTAATTTTATCTCCTGCAATATCATAGTGAGTATGCAAGGTGTGACTCATATCACTACTTTAAGGGAATTAAAAATAGACCAGCTCGTGATATAAAGCAGGCTGGCTTGGTTAGCTGCAGCTGAACCAATCAAGCAGCCTGTCTGGGTTTTGTAAATTAGAATATGACAGTGTCCCTTCTTACTTAATGCCCCTGTGTTAAAATGTAATAAGAGGTGTTGAATGGAGTCAAGTCACAGCAGTGTATTTCAGGAGGATGGAATGTTCGGCCCTCATCCATCAGTGGTCCAGGCAGGCTGCTGGAAAGGTAGCATCTGGGTTCTAATGAAGACTGGGACCATCTTCTGGGGCCTGCTTGTTTCTTGCTTCTTTTCCATGGAATTTGGACAGTGGGTTTTCTGTCTAACCCCACATGAGGCTGGTTGGCCGTCTTCATTGTAGAGTTAGTGCCTTTAATTACCTACGGCAGCCCTAGAAGAGGCCATAAGTGACAGAGCATCACCATTTAGACAACACATGTCAGCGCTGATTAGCGCGGCTGGTTAGAGCCAGGACTAATGAGGCCGAGGTCACGGACTCGCCCGGCAGCCCAGGTAGCCTGGCCATTCTCCATCCTGCTGCCCCAGCCCGGTCAGCTGCCTCCCAGACACTCGCTGCCTTCTGGAAGGGGGCCAGAGAGGCACCAGCTGCAGCCAGCACTGGCTCCTTTTGTTTAAAACCAAACAAAATAAAAACAGGGTCTGTAATGTACCACCCTCTGTGATCCCTCTCTAGGAATATCAGCATTAATTATTTACATTTAATTTGTTAGCCATTGGGTGGTTAATTTTTTTTAAAACCCACTGATTTATTAGCATTTTTATAATAAGCCACATTTACTGTCTATTAATGAGAGTTCAAATGGATCAACTATTTAATTTTCT